GGTGTATGTATATAAATCATGTTTTAATTGTTCAAACTAATAGCAAAAAATGCCAGGCCGCCCCAGGTTCCTAGCCAAGAGGTAAGAACAGGGATGGCAAACCTACAAGAACTCACAAGTCATTATGTAAAAGACATCACCTCTTCATTTCGTCACCCAGGTGAAAAACTGATTACATTTCTATTCGTATCGATTCGTATGATATTCGACCGTATCTGGCCGACCCAGATCAGGCCAACAAATCATTGGGGTTCAGTTCACTCAACCGGGCGAGTCCTGACTGTTGCAGGTCAGTTCGGAGGCAACAGTGTGTCCTGGATATGTTATGTCATGTTATTAGGACAAGAGGAGGACAAGGCCCAGCCACAGAGCCCAGGCTATTTAATGTGTCAATTAATTGGCCAGTACTACACTCCCTGGAACGGAAATGGATAGCATGGCCCCGATTGACCATGAACATCCGAATGCCCAACAGGGGGCTTCACTCCACTTCCATCGTTTGTTCGAGTATTTATGGCAATGACGCCGCCGAAAAACTTGGGTATATAGGGTGTCACCTTCCCAACATCAACCACTCAAAACAACGGCCAGCTCTCTTTCCACCATGGCCAGAATGTTCTGGGCCTTTCACCCTGTCTAGGCATCTTTTTCGATCCGAAATAGCTCCTAAGGCAGTCGTTACGCCGTTACGCCACCCGAAAATTCTCGCACATGTGTCGTGGAAAGCACCCTCTTACAATTTCAATGAGCCATCCACTTCCATGATCTGACCCAAACACAACCAAAAGCATCCAAAAGGACTGGCATATTTACACCTAGAACCTGGATGACCTTGATTTGGGATCACCAACGACCAAAATATGGTCTTTTCCTATCAAAGTTACAGGTCAAACGGGTTCTAGCCCTCCGCAGGGTCCCGTTTGACGGCCAGTCATCTTCCAGCCTCTCTGGGGCCGCCGACAAGGCCAAGGCCACCGTCACTCCTCCAGACCCGTCGCTGCCTCAGAACCGCCGGAGGCCGGAGGCCGCACGGGGAAAAACACACCGCGATCACACGCCCATAGACGCTGTAGACTCACTGTAGAACAGACGCTGTGTAGAACCACTGTTGACTCACTGTAGACTCACTGTCCGAACAAAAAGAATGGTCTACAGTGAGTCTACAGCGTCCATGACTGCAAAGAATATTGGAGATGGATTCATGGGCCATGTTTTTCTGCCCAAGAGCTTCGAACGAGGCTTTGAAAAAGAAGTGATTCCAACCAAAGGGAACACGTCCCGTACTGACTCCTGGAATGTCCAGCACAACAGCAGGACATGAAGTTCTCAAAGATGACCGATGACCCATTTCTGCTTCTCGCTTGATGTCTTCAACCCTTCCGAATCCTCCCGAGAACGGCACTGCCCGACCTTTTTGCTTTGGAACGGTTGCATTCGGCCCAGAAATGCTCCAAAGACGACCGTGGGGTGCGACCGCAAGCAACGCCCCCGGCGGTCGTGCCGCCGGTCAGCCAGCCTTGTCAGCTCCCAAGTGCAACAATCACAGCAATCACTTGTTCACTCGTTCACCCGTTCTGCAGTTCTGCCCAAGTCTAATGTAGACTCTCGATCTGATGAACCCTCCCACTTCAATTTTTCAAAGCCTTCCCATGTCATGGGTGAAATATGAAGTCTACATGACCCGACACGAATAGATACGACTCCTAACCGTCTCATGTGCTGGATAGTCTCGGAGTGGAAGGGCAAACATCGGTTACTGTAAGCTTCGGTTCAGCTTCAGTCGCCCTAAATAGGTCAAGTCAGTCGCGGGCGAAGTCAACCGAGCGAAGTCAAGTCATCCGCCCTCCTACGAGGGAACGACCACGAGTACTCTCGGAGTATCCTTCAACCACCCCACCTCAAGTGAAGCCACCGCTATACCAACAATATCATACGATATCTAACGATTAGAGACAGGTGGGGAGGCAAATTCCGAACACTTCTGTAGTATCTCCTTAGTCTTCTCTCAGCTTCCCCAAATCAAGGGAGGACAAGACGATCGGCGATCTCACGATCATTCATTAAAGGATGGCGGGTGCGGCCCAGTAGCGCGACAGACAGACATCCAACACTACGACATGTACTGTTGAAAGTTGGTCAAAACGAGTTGGGACATGCCTACCACAACAGATGTTGAGCGAAGAATCCCGGTGACAATCTTCAAAGCACACCAAAAACAAACATATCTTGAACATATGACATGTGCATCCTTTTGGTCCTTCCTGATCTTGATGCCTTTTCTTCGTCCTTCCCTCTCTTCTTGCAGAAACAATCAGAAACACACAGATTGATCCGTGCGGCATCCTTCTCACAAAGAAACCTATACCAGGGCCTCTGGTTTGGGTGTCCATTTAATAGCCCCGAAAGAGATTCAGGGTGTCCATGGTAGAAAGTGGTCTTCAAGTCCCACAAGACAAAGCTCCTGGCCCACGAAGTCGTTGGCTCTTTACACGGCCCTGTGGCTAAACGAGACTCCTATCATGTGCAAGTTTGCCAGCTCCATTCGCAAATCCCAACCTCTTAGATTCTCCAATTCCTCTTAGATGCGGCACCTAAATAGATGCATCCTAGTCTACAAGTTTACTCTCTTGTGCATACGACAAATTTACTCTCTCTCTCTGCCTGAAGGCACCCGACAGTGTACAAAAAGTGTGTACTTTTCACATCTTGTTTCGGTTTCACATCTCTAAACCTGTTGTATTTCTTTACCCCTACAGCAACCACTGGAACAAGGCCGGACCGTCCTCAAGTGCATGTACCCGACCCACTGGCTTTGGAGATGTAAAGCCGACATGGATCCCTGTCTTTTTTTGCGTTTTTCGGCCCACCCAAGCTGTGGAATGACAGCATTGGTCATTCACGACGGCGGATTGGGCAGCTTCGCGGAAGTTGAAATGTGCTCCTGCTCCACCAAGCTTCGGATTTCGGCCAATTTGTGCTGATGTTCGGATTACCCACACACACTCCTTGGGACTGGAATAGGTCACTAGTCCAAGCATGTGTTGGGTCATGATTCCCCTTTTCTCAAGATTCTCAAGCATTATGGCATGCTTGGACATGCCATAGTGCTTGAGTGGCAGGGACTTGAAGTTCCTAGCGCATACGAACATGCTTCACATCCGACCAGAAGGAACTGGCTTCACATTGGTTGTGGTTCACAGCCGAAGCGTTTCCACTGGTGAGGAGTGAGGAGAGCGCACATAAAAAAGAGGAAAGAAGAAAGAGGAACCACGCCGTTTTCTGACTGGTGCGACTCGTAAGCAATAAGGGTGGCTCCTACAGTAAGGTCTCTACAGAGGGCTTAGTCAACCTCATTCCCTACGAGTCGCGCCCGTTTTGTTTGCAGCCTCTCAGGGTCTATCCCCTAGGCTGCTTTTAAAAAAGTTGATTGAGTAAGATCCTTACTTAGTCACACAATGGTGGTTTGGCAGAGGCCATTATATAACTCAATGTTGTATCCTTCCTCCACTTCCTCCACTCGGCTTTTGGATTAATACAGCGGAACTGTTGGATTTGAACTATGCCAACTGTTGGGTCAACTATGGGTGCCTGTGAATGAGACAACTCACAACCCTCGAAGTGCAGTGCATTTCTCCATGTTTCTCCCCTGTCACAGGCCGGAATGTCAGTTCTGGGGGTCCACTTGCTGACCCACATCAGAAATCCTGGCAAGGAGCTGACTGCCCCTCTGCATGTTCTTTTGAAGCCGTTTAGGATTTTTGAGGATAGTACGCTTCAGACGTTTTCCTCCATTGAAGCGTTGTGGGTCCGTACGGCCCATGTCAGAGGCCCATTTTGGTCGGCCTTTACTATTAAGTGCAGTGCTTGCTAGACGATGTATGATCGATACCAGGGCCCCCCACCATCGGGGTGCTTAATGGACATCCCTGGACCTAAGGAGCGATAATTGGACACCCCATGGTGTCAAAGGCCCTGGTATAGACTGCAGATAGACGATCATATAGACCAGCAGGGGTGAACTTAAAGTCGGGATGCCAGAACATCCACCTATACTGGATGGGACCAAATCCATTCCGACCTGGAACTGGTGTGCTAGAAATGGGATCCACCTACTACCCCTTTCGAAACCAATCCATTCTCCAACCGATCGATCCAGTCGGGTCCCCATCACGGATAGCTCAGAGCAACCGATCTGCTTGTCATTTCAACGTGGCGAAGTGTTCCCATCGCCTCACCACCGCAGCAGGCGGATCGATAGCTGCGGACGGATCGATAGCAGTCACATGGGTTCGATGGAGTGGGAACCCCATGACCAGCGCGACGGGCAGAATAAGAGGAGAACACTCATTGGTGTTGTACAAGAAACACGTGTTCTAGTGCTATAGGATGTATAGGTTAGATAGGTATTATATTTATATAGATTCCATTTGTCTCATGAATGTTCGCTAGAGATAGGTGCGGGAGGATCATTTATTTCCTGCAAGCCATGTGTGCCTTCGTCACCCGGTTTCGGACAGCAGGTTGGGCAAGCCCAATCACTGATGTACGAGGTCTTTTTCATGTGGCAGTGCTTTTCTGATGGAGGCTGGCCGCCGCTGGCCATGGAACTCCTGAGATCCTGGGAAGTGCAGTGCGACACCATGTCGCAGCCGCCCCCTGAACGCCGAAGGGCAAATTAACAGCGCTGTGGCAAGAATTATGTCATCCTTTCCATCATGGCTCCACCACGAAGAGAAGCAATAGGAAATTGGTTTCAAGTTTCAATAATAAATAAATAGCTTTAAGAACAAATCCGGTGACAGCCTTCAATGGCAGTAAGCTCAGTGTCAGTGGTCTCACTCACTTGGGGATTGACTTCTTCCACAGGCTCTGGGCAAAGAGGGTGATATATATGGTCACATTGCTCAATACACACCCTCTCAACATTCATTTTCTCCGGCCCTGCACAATCCTTGCAATTGGTGCGGCAAGGCTGTTCCAGGGCCCGTCCAGGCCCGATGTCAGGAGCTGTGAGAAGAGGCACTGCGCTTTCGCAACTCTAGTTCGCTCTTCCTTGGCGAGAAGACGCTTCCGCCCCCACCACTCAACCCGGAAAAATGCTCGCAAGAATATGTGAGGGTGGTTCATGGCGTTTCATCTAGAACTGCTCTTGTTGGTCTCCCATCAAGTCATCTGTGGACGGTTCCCGCAGTACCTGCTGTGCGGGGAAGGCCGAACATGGCGGTTTCAAAAAGGACCGGGACCACAAGCCCTTGGGAACCGCTGGGCACCCCCCAAAAATAGGCGATAGAACACTCGATACATCTCGATACGCTTCAAACATTTTAGATATTCAATTGCAAGTATATATAATATATATATATTGAATCTTCTGAAGTACTCCGCCCGCACGTCTCCCCCGTGGCAGCCCCCTCCGGGCTTTTGCCAAGCACGTCTCCCTCTCCATCCGCCCAAGGCACAACATGGCATTCTCCATGTCTGAGAGCCGCAATTTCCTGTCGGGAGGTGTGGATGTTCAGGATTTTTCGGTGCAGGTGTGGATGTACCCCATACACCGAAGACGATCCCATGGACCCTGAAAACCACTGGGTTGGTAGAGGAAAACCCTCCAAGGTCTATGTGAGTTTTCGGGAGCGTAGCTCTTTCTCTCCAGGATTTCCCGATTTCAGGTTCCATGTCATGGTCCACTTCTTTGAACCTGCTTGCTTCGAAGATCTGAGAACATCCGGGACCACTTGGCCAGCGGCCAGCAAAAACCGGTGTAACCACCCAACAAAACCAAAAGAGCCGGTGTACCGAACTCACCATCCGAGGGTCAAGCAGGCTCTTCAACCGCTGTGAAATTGCTGTGAACCATTTGCCGACTCAGACTCAAGACCCAAATCGAACGTCCGGAAGACGAACGGGGCCGGTGCGTCCCAGTCAGTGTCGTTGGAGTCCAAGTCCCACAACCAAAGGGTCCCGCTCATCGAGGTGAAGGAAGATAGGGGTTTTTCATGTCACCACAACGCGTCGCGCGACACTGGGGTAGTTGAAAGGGGGGCGTCCAGTAGACTTCCTTAGACTTCCCGAGATGAGATGATTGTGTCTGCTTGCTTGCTCCCTACCCGAAACACCCGAAACCCTTCGATTGGCCTGTCGGCGATTTCCAACTGACTTCGCAGCAGAATGATCTGGCCATCCTTGAAGGGACATGGGAGAAGAGATGCAAAATAAGGATGCACGCTCCATATGGGGCTGCATTTGCCCCTTTTCAACTTACCCCAATGCATTCTACATCGAACATACATGGAGCCTTTGGGATCTGCAATCGATGATCGGCAAATCTTTCTCAGCCTTTTTCAGCCGACCACGCGGTGGTACTCTCACCGTCGGCCGTCTGACGGGCCGGGAACGCACCGAAAAAATGTATGTCCGACGATGTCCGACGAGTGGTTGTCCGAGGATGGCCCACCATTTCCAGGACGAGGCCGCCATGAAAAGCACACCCCACTGTCACTCGTCCGGTCCTGGTGCGAAAACTGCCCCGCGTTCACGAAGTGCACCCGCCGGTGGGGTTCACCACCCCGAGTCTGTGGTATTCCGTGGTCATCCCGTGTCCGGCCATGCCATTCGCGTGAGCCCATGCTGATCTCACGTGAGCCCAGTGTCGTGCCTACATGGTCAGTGTTGTAACCAGTGTCACCGCTACGTTTCGTCCTCCTTCCCTTGGATTCTTGGATCCAGTTTCGTCCTTCTTACAGGTCGTTTAGACTGTTTAGACCCCACTCAAGTTGGTCATCAACGACTCCATGAGTCTGACTCCCAAAAGGTTTCCCTGGAAGACAAAAGGTTCACCTTTTTCAATTTGTTCCATCTGTAGCGGGGAAACCAATCCCTCAAAATGGTTCAAGCTTGTCTGACTAAGTGCAGGGTGCACGGATCCAGATGTGCGCGACCCCCTGTGACGCCTGCCCATGCCATGCCTGCCCACGCCTGCACCCATGGACCACCCAGCCCGACCGGTGGAGCGCCTTGTTGGTGACCTCATCCTTCAACGCTTCGCACTCCGCCTGCAAGCTTCTCAGCTGCCCATCCTCCACTGCGGCCTGGCAATACACGGCGGGGGTCGCTTCATGTAGACTTAGATCTCTTAATATCTCTTGATTAGGTTTCAACCCCCCGATCTGAACTCATGGTCTGAGGTGAGCTGATGAGCCCCTTTTGGGATCTGGTGCCCTTTTTTAACCTTCGGCCACTCCAAAACCTTCCCGATCCTGCCTTGCCCGCTGTGAGCACGTCGTTGCGCGCCAAAGCTTTGGCCAGATCAACTTGCAGAATCTCCTTGTCCTGGCGAAAGCGAGGTCACTTGTGACCCGAAAAGGGCACGTGACTGGCAGTTGTGGAAGGTTGAGAATGTTTGAGAAACCCCCGCATGATTCGATCGATAGAACACCCCCCCAAAAAAAAAAAAGAACACATCGTGCATCAGTGCATCTGGTTCATCAGTTCCACCATGTTTGCACCATGTTGCACCCATTCGTTCCTTCAGATAGAGCCCGCGGGCCCGTGGGGCACCCGAGTTCACGCACCGGGTCTCCCCGAGTCGGCGTGTCAGAGGAAGATAGACGCGTGTCAGCCGATTGGAGGGCTTGATCTGAAGCTTTGGATGAAGGGAAAATCATGATACATGCGTTTCACATTGAGTTATAGAGTTATACTCGAGGTTCTTGACCGAAAAAGTCATATAGTTTTAAGTACACGGTTCGTGACTCAGTCAGTCCTTTGCCCTTGGGATCCTTGGAGAAGATACAGTCATGCGTCCAAGAGTTGAAGATCGTCCCTACTTCCTTTGGCCAACCGGAAGTCCGTGGCTTTTTGCGCCCAGACATGGTCCTTCTCGAGCTTCTCCACGCGGCCTCCGCTTCAAAAGTGCGAGAGGGATCAAAATGATCAAGGACGTCAAGGAGGGAAAGACGTCCGAGGGAAAGACGCCCATATGAGCCACCCAAACTTGGGGATTGTGCTATCTACTTCTTGAAACCACTACAATAATAGTATATAATATAGCGGTGTTTCTGGGATCCATGGGGCACCGGGGCTGACATCCTGCAGCCCTTTTTGGGCCTCTCTGCCGTGGACCCGCCCTCCCGTGGGCTGCAACTTTGGCGGCCCGCAGCCCAGTGGCTGAGATTCTCAGTTCGAAGTGAAACGGTGCTGTACATGATCTATAGGGAGTTAAGGGGCTGCTTGCTCGGTGGCTTGCCCATCTTTGGCTGCAAGAAGCACAAGAGAAGCAGCTGGACTCGCAACAACGACGGTCTACGGATGAGTGCAGCAGGTTCTTATACTTGCACTGTCCATTCGCATCCACCTACTCCGTAGGGCGAGCCACCTGCAACTCGAATAAGCCGCTTCTTGGCCTTCGCGGCAACCAGTTCTGCACACCGTGTTTTCGACAGTGTGGCTGCCCTCAACTCCACCTACCTACAGAGCAAGTTTGGTCAGAGACAAAGGATTCCTGAGGGAGTGCCGGACGGGTGTCCAAGGTGTCAGGTGTCCTATCCCACGCCTCCCCGTGCCTTTGGTCCCATGTGTCGTCCCAGATTATCATTCGTGGGTTTGACGAAAAAACACTGCTGGCCACCTTTGGTCACAGAGTGGATGAGCACGTGGTTTGCCTGAAGGCCCTGGACATCTAATTCCCAACACTTCTGTGGATGAAGATGCTGCACCAGCTTGCCTATGGGGATGCATCATGAAAAAACCTGGAGCCCGACCAGTCCAGCATCGAACGACCGACAGGTCGGCAGGTCAAGGAATCCCAGTGCCATGACCTACAGCCGTATGCTGGGGACCTCCAACGAAACTTGCGGGGGCCACATCAGCCGTGAGTGAGAAAAAGAAGGAAACACCAAACAAATCGAATCCAAGACACAGGAGTGTCCTGATTTGGCAGACAATAGCTATCTGTCGGCGGCAAGCTCTTGGAAAGCTTCATGGGGTTCCCTGCCACTGAGATTTCATCCTCATCACCTTGAAGCCAAAGCAACAGTCATATATATATATATGAGTCATAGGGGATCATTGGACCTACTGTCATCATGTCAACACAGAACGGGTGCTCCTGGGAGCTGTGTTTTGTCCAAAAAAGTATACCAAAAACATTTAAAACGAACATTATATATATATATATATAATATCAACAGTGTGTGAGACAAAATGAGGGCACTATTACTATAGGAATTGGAGTTGTTTCTTTTTGGCGTTGCGATTGCAGCAAAACAATAGCTCAAAACCTAGGTTTTTGTGAGGCGCAGTCCCGAAAGGCGTTTCAATTGCTTCAGTAGGGTTATGTATATGTCTTGCTTGCTTCTCTTTATGCTCGAATGCGTTTCAAATTGAGCACCAAAAGGAAACAGCTTCAACCTTCACAAGGGTTAGTTTGCCTTTTGTTTGTTTTATCATTGCCTTCTTGAGAGCATTAACATGCAATTAAAGGAATGCACTACTAAAGAAGCTAATGAGCTAGACCAAGTTGCAACAGCATCAGTCAACTTCTATCCAGGCAACAAGATATTTATTCTGGTGTCCTGTCTCAATAGGTGTTTCTTTTGCTCGAATAGGTTGTATCTGTCTTGCTTACATAAGTTGTTCTGTGCCTTAGCATTGGGCAACAAAAAGGAAGGCTGCTTCAATCGTCACAAGGATATTTTCTTGGTCAAGCTGTTTCGTTTGGTTGGCTCTTTCTAAGAAGGTATGGAGCTAGACTAGGCACAAGAAATTTGATTGAGTTCCATGTCAAAGCAAAGAGTGACATATGATATATGATATATATATGTATATACAGTATATATGTATATATATATATCTTTTTGATTGCCTGGTCGTGGTTCTTGTTTCTCTTGGTTTGGGCAAGATGCCAGCCAAAGCCAAATTCATACAGCAATCAAATCAGTACTGTTATTTGGATTGCTTTTTGCCTATGAAAACAAGGACATCAAAGAATTTAAAGCACCGATGGAAGAATAGAAAGAATCAATCAGAACACATGTAAAATCTATTGGAACGATAGAAAGGTTCTTTGGGATCAAGGCGAAGCTGCTGAGGGGAGAGTGTTGAAGCTGAAGTCTGCATATTGAAGCTGAAGTCCTTTCAAGATTCAAAGCCAAACAGCTTTGACCGATAATATTGAGAACAAATGAATACAAATGACCAGGCCGATATTGATATTGAACAAAGAAGAGTGAAACTGCATTGGTGTTCCACATTACTATTGACATTGCACATAGAGATTGGGCACAGGAAGATAGAAAAATATATTTCGCCTAGGTCTCAGAGCAGTTTTTGAAATGTTGCATTGTATTTACAGTGTTTTTGATAGGTCTTGGCCTTGGTCTAGTGCGTGCTCTCCAATACACACCCGCTCTCTAGAGAAACCAAACGCTTGAAAGTTTGGGACGATATATGACTATACATTGGGTCAGTCTATCCTATTGCCAGCAACAGTGGATGATGATGGTTGCTAAACGTCTTTGTTCAAAATGGTGATCCTTGTTTACTGACTGTTACAGGTAAGTTCGGACGGACCCAAACTGTACACTACTGTATTGCATTAATATAAACAAACAACACCAAACAAGCTCAGAGCTTCAACTACAGAGCTTGGTTCGTCTGTCAATCTCACCATGATGCTCATGATGCGAAGGCCACAGGATGCGCATGTCTGCGGGCGGATGTCAGCTCTGTTAATCGTACAGGATCGCATGGCACACCGGTCGATCCAAAACAAGGTCGATCCAAGGACGTCCCGCTGCCAACCCTTGGGTGGTCCAAAGATGTAGGCCTAATGACGCTCCACAGTGTCCAGCGAAGAAAGAAACCTGATGAAACCATGGGTTGGGTGGAACTCCCATAGTCAAAAGTGCGTCGAAGAAAGGAACCTTCCAACATCCTATGTAATTATATACTTTAATGTGCAGTGCTGATAGTGGAGATTGGCCATGAGTTTAAGGCTTAAACTTTAGACCCCGAATATCCTCCAATTGGCCTCCCCGCACACACCCGAGAAAAACACAAAGATCATCACATACCTCGCATAAAGGCGTTGGAACCGTCCACCAGTCCTTTTTTGCATTAGTTGCATTTCCACCCCCCGACCTCATAGACAGACCTCATGACCTCCCATCCTCACCTCTTCCCCAGCTCGGCTCTTCCCATCCCGTCTCGTGGCTGGTTTGGTAGATCATGGCCAGCCCCGTCCAAGCCGTCGAGGCCACATGGATCATCCGTAAGTAGGGGAAGCCTCGGGAGAGCACCCCGGGGTTCCGCGTGGCCGCTTGACGAACGAGACCCGGCACCTTGGAGTCCGGGGATTGAACCAAAAATCCGACCAATCAACACAGGAGTTGACGGTCTTCTCAAGAAAGACTTCATGGCATGATACATGTTAACCCGAAAACCTGAAGAAAGGTTTTGAGGTGCGCGCTCGGTTTGTGCTGACTCCATCAGCGTCCCGCGAAGCCATGCGCAGTTCCTCATCTTAATTCATGGAGCCCTTTTCCAGACCCCCTTGCTAAAGGCATGGGTTTAAAAAGACGGAGCACATGTTCGCTATTTATCACGGTTGCTTTGCGGATTTGGGGGAGTGCTCCTTTTTCGGCATCACCATGGATTGCCTGCACCTGAGCCCACGACTCCGTCAAGCCTCGTCGAAGTGTCCCAAACGGCTTCCCCCATCCCAAACGCTCCATGTGCCTTGAAACCACCCCCAATGATCCCCCATATCATCTTAGAATACAGCACCCGGCGGCCAACAGGTCACCACCTGCCACTTTGAAGATCTGCAAGTCTGTCACCCCCTCGGAGACCTGCCAGACCTCCCGCGGTGAAAAAGAAACAGCTCTATCATCTCAGTCCCGTCTCGGAGGGCTCCATTGGGGGGCCCAGGCACCTCCCCGCCCAGGCGCCGGCGCCCCCCATCGCTCCACCGAGGCGCCCATCCCCGTGTCCGATCCACCAGGATCGGCCGCGTAGGCGTTGCGCTCGTTGTAGGCGTCGCCGTTGCCGCCGCGCACGGAGGCCGGCACCGCGCCGTAGGTCTTCAAGAGGGTGCGCAAGGAGGTCCTGTGGGCTGGGAAGGAGGTGGCCCTGTTTGCCTGCTGGGAAGGGGCAAGGGCTTTTGACTGTGTAGCCCGCCTGAGTACATGGGCTGAATCCCAACGAAGAGTCAGTGTTTTTTGGACTCAGGACTGTATAGTACAAAACCAGATCAGTCACTTTTGGAATGGGCTAACTGTAGCTGGGGGACGATGAAATTACGATAGGTCTCAACAGGTCAATGGACACGGTCGTGGGGTAGACCCTTCAGATTGGCTGATTGACTGCCTGCACTCTCCAGACACAAACACACCTTTCTATAATGACCAGTTGTGAAAGAAGTTGACTCTAAACCGCTAAACCATCTAACCGCTGACCGCGATCTCGTGCTCACACCTCGTGACGTGCTCCGTCTATCTCCGTCTCATGTCTCACGTCTCGCCCTCCTGCTGGCATTCAGCCGCAGCTTCATCTGCTTCTTGAAGCCTTCCTCACTGCCCGAGGCTCGAAAGTATAGGAAGTGGTTCAACGCGATCACGGCGCCCGCCGTCTCCTGGGGCCGCGGGACTCACGGGACGTCCGTCGGTCTCGGCAAAGCTTTCGGCCGCCTGTGTCGGCCGACCCAGGCGGGGCCTGGCCAAGCTCCGGGCGAAGAGAGGTGTGTTTGACCCATCCAACATGCAAGCAGTGGGGGTGGTTAGGGCGGCTAGGGGGTTCAATGGATTGAGGAGTAGATGGCACAGACTCCAAGTTCGGTGGTTGAAAAATGGACCCCTACCTGTCTAGGACATGATGGGGTCTGTGCCATCTACTCTGATGCCACTGTATTGTCAATGCAGGTAGATGTTCCAAAGTCCCATGGATGGCCTAGGGTATGCGACAGGTTTCGACCCTTTGAGTGGCTGCTTTGAGAACGCTTGGCCTCGGTGACAGCACGGCCCCGCCAAAAAACATCTCTCGCATGAAAGGCCCTGAACCAGCCACCTACCACCACCTACTAGATCAAAAGAGCTGCTACTTGGAGAGTGTGTTCAGTATCACCCTTTCTTGGACCTTAGATTCTTAGATTCCTTAAGATTTACATCTTCAATTCGTCTTGAAGACGACCCCACAAACGATGCCAAAACCCATGGGTCTCCTCGAATTGGATGCCGAAGCCTTTGGAGGTGAAGCGTGCGCCATGGAGCGTGGGCGCCGGGCTCAAACCGGACAAGCTGTCCTCCCGGTCGGCCGTGCGGTGTGAACGGGCCGCCGCGCGGTCAAGCGCGGTCAAGCGGTACAGAACGAGGAGTGGATGTTGCCGACATCAGGAAGATGGCGTGATCTTGGACTACCACCATGGACAGATGGAAGACGTAACTCTCAAAGTCAAGAACTCGCTGACTAGCATACCCTAGGGCTCCAAGTACCTTCTGAGAAGGTGTTTGGGGTGGGTTTAGAGGGTCCAAATACCTTCTGAGGAGGTACTTGGAGCCCTAGGGGTAGTTACTATTGATATCTACAATTTATTAACATGGCATGTCCTTTGGAGTTCTTCGTCCGAGTCCGACCGAGCAAACACCCTGCCACCTCCAAATCACCCAGAGTAACATGAGCAACCAATCAAGGAGCCACCGAAGAAACCCAGAATACGTACACCCCAACAAACGAAACAAGAGAAGCAAAGAACAAAGGAGCCAACAAGGCCCTCTCCGACCTACTACTTGGACCTACTATATATATATATATATGTGTGTGTGTGTGTGTATGTGTTATATATATATATATGTATACATATATATATATATATATTATACCTTTCACCCCTTCGCTGCGGCTTCCAAAATCCAAACAAAAAGACCTCCACACCAGGCCCAGACCGCCCCAGACCGGGTCCTGGTCGAAATCCCAGAGCCAATCCGAATAGATGACCCAGCTCACAGACTTGCCCACCCGGTCTGCGTGGTTATCCACCTCCGCCAGCAGATTCCAAAACCTGTGGACAGAATGAGAGTTGAAACAGACATCGTGTCTTTTGACGTTCAAAGGCGAGGTCGGGAGAGGGAAGTCCGGAACGGAATGAGGCTCCGGCGTGACCAAGCCGGGTTGAACCAATGGGAAAAACAAGGGGGTTAAAGAGGGAACATGCAGTAAATTTGTAGGATCCAGTTGCGGGAGGCTGTTGGGTTTTCGGAAAACGGTCATCCAAGGGGCGCCATCCAGGTAACCATGATTATTCTCGGAAGAGCGCCGCTTGGGTGGTGTGCTTTTCTGTTTGGGTCACTTACACCTTGGCTTCCAAGACGAACCTTCTCGTAGTGGTCCCAATGGAGGGAGAAATGGTTTGGACGGTGAACATCATCACCATCCTGCACGGGAGGAGCGGCCAGCGAGTTACGGGGGGCCGAAGGTGCAGCAAAAATGATGGTTTCGGATGGTTTCAGCAGTTAGATGGCACAAGTTACCCGCCCGTTTATAGTTGAGCGGTTTTTTAGAAGGACACCCATCTGTCGACAAGACATCTCGGGGTGCCGATCGTGCCATCGAACCTCTGAAACCACTGAAACCGCGAACTTCCCATATTCGTTTCCACCGGCCGAATTTCCGTTCAACCCAGGTTGAAGTCTTCCGGGAATCGAAGTGACCAAAAGACGTAGCAACGTGATCCCAAAATTGGTCTTCCACCACCTTCACGACTGGGCACTGCCCATCTGCAGGAACGCCATCACCCTGTGCAAACCGTCCATCGCACACGTCGGCGCCGATGGTGCCCACATTGTAGGCGTCGGGGTAGTCCTGGCGTCGTGTTCCGCGAGCACCTCGTGGAACCCGCCGAACGGCGAACGGCACCCCTTAAGGGGCACGGAGGGATGGCCTCCCCAATTGGGCCCAACAAGCCCGATCTATGCTTGACTATGAGTTCTCTCGTTTGGGCTAAGAATGTGCCCATGTCTTAGTCTCCCACGATCCATGTTGATTCAGAAGATCAGCCTTCAGTCAGCCTTCGGCATGTGTCCGCATGATTCACAACGTCTTAAGCAACATGAACTTCCAAACCGCTATGTCGGGGAATTCAAGCAAGATCCAATAAGAAAAAAATAAGAGAAGTAAGAAAGTTCGCCATACACTGCCCTGCTCCCGAGTCAATACTTGAGAGCTCCAAATACTGTGATCGCGCCTTGTGCTTCCCAATCCCGGATTCTTTGAACTCAATCAGCCACAAAACATGCATTAACCATCAATCCCGGTGATTCATGTGATTCACATCCCACAAGTCACATCGCGACTCCCCCAGCCGTCGCCTTGTTTTTCCCGTACATGCTCTTGACAAACTTCCTTGCACGTTCTTGAGAATCCCACTTCTGTAGCATTCCACTGAGAGCGAAGAGGTCGATATTGTGCTCCAAGGACCGTTGGTGTCCACGGGCGGGAGGCAAACGTCCAAGGAAACCACCCTGGGTCGCTGCAAGGTCGACCGATTCAGCGTCGTTTTAGGTCGTCATCAGCAAAAAATGTCTTACATGTAGTTACACTCTTTGATCTTTGACCCACTGACATGGAAGTGAGTTCTACCTTTCAAGGAAAATCCGTTTTTACAAGGGTTCTTCTCCACCTCAATCTTTCACCCCCCCCGGCGCCAGGCGCACCCGACATGGCTATCCATCTCCGATCAACCATCCGCAGAGTCGATGGTTGAGAGCTCAGCTCATTTCATACTTCATTTCATCTACACTCCCTGGAGCTATCACGGAAAGTGGAAAAATTGATGAAGATTGCATAAAATGGCCCTTTGGAAAACCATGTGCCTTTTATGGACAGGTGGTTTTCCACTTCCATGATTGGTCCACGGAGTGTAGATTCAGAGGTGCTATGTTCATCCATGCTGGCACAAACCATGGGCGTGCTGGATTTCCACGCCACAGGCTGTGACTCGGGTGTTGGCAGGGTTCTCATCCACCAGTCCTTCCAGTCTCCACCAACACCTCCCGCATCCCGCTCAGAGCTCAGAGCTTCAAGCTACCCACGTCCCGCCCGGTGGGTCTTCAAGTCAGTTTAGACCAGGGACAGGGTCATCCTGATCTTTTAGGCATCCAGAACTGTTTGCACTTCTGGGGTGTCCAACAGTCCACACGTTACATACGCAAGCTGTCAAATGCCAAGCCCCTCCAAACCTCCACCCTTGATCCCCCCAAATGCCCACCATGTGTCCAGGTCATCCAAACACGCCCCGCCCATGCCGAGGGCGTGAAGTAAGTCCTCCGCCGCTGCGCGGAAGCAGCCCTTGCCGCTCTCTGCTGCATAGTGTGCGAAGGCCATGGCCTTGGGACCGTGTGGACCCCGTGGGATCCAAGCACTCGGATCATCTCACAAATGAAAGGCTCATCTTCATCAGAGAAGTTCATCTTCATTGAATAGTCCGCGTTGATTAAGCACTGCATTGCCATCAAGTTGGCCATCAAGTAAATCAAAAACTAAAAATATCGTCTAACAAAGAACTGTATTTTAAATAAAGTCTGATAAAACGGGGTTGCGTCTATATCAAATGTCACGCCATATGCTCAATTGAGAAAATAACAGCTGGTTTCTGGTAGCCTTGAAAACAACTAACTACTAACAATGCCAAAGCAAGCCTAAATAGGTGTTCCAACATTATGTTGCATGAAGTTGCTTAAGGTACTTAAGATGTTAGATGAAAATCAATTTCTAATCCAACCATTACAAATCAAAACTTAGCAAATTCACAACGATAGATTTACGGGTATAGTATATACAAAGTATTACAGAGTTATAGAACTATAGATCAAGTCCGCTATTATGGTCCAATATGCCACCTGATGCCAAAACAGCAAGATCTGTGCAATCAGCGCATTTTCCGATTATCCAAGAAAAAGATGCTAAACATTAAATTCGCAACACCCTCTGGATCCACTCCCGTTCAAGTTCAGATGTTCAAACCCAAGAAAACACATCAAATCCCTCCATAGCGCTCCAGTCGTACCTTCCTCAGAAGGTATGACTGGAGCCCTAGGGCCTGGTGGAGCTCACCCTAAGCCTTAGGTGCCACCTGAAGAATCTGACTCCAGCAGCCTGGTGGAGCCCCGGACGAGCCGGAAGAGTCAGCTCAAAGGCTCAGCCGGTGAACCTCCAACCCCAGGGACGTGGGGTCGTAGATGACCTGTGTTTGCCAATGTTGATAGGTTGTTTTGGAAGACATGCAGGAAAGGTATGGAACTCTAGACCCTCCAAACATGGTTGTTTTTTGATGAATCGCGACCCATTCTGAGACTCATTCTGATCGATCCGACTCGGAGGGAAACAAAAAAACACCTCTCTGTTGCTGCCCAAAGCTCTGCCCAAGCATTGTTGCCGCTGTCCACTCCACCATCAAAGACCTGGGGCAACGCATAAGTCCCCGCAGCGACCTGGAGCCGTGGAGGGCACGTAGTGGAAGGCACGCAGCACTGGGCGTCGTCCCAAACTCCTATGTCCTGAAGAATTCAGTGATTGGCCCCCCGCCATAAAGGGAATCAATAAAGGCAAGGACTTCGGGAAGAATCAAAAGTTGCGGTTGAGTTTTTGAGGTTGAATTCAATCGCAATCCATTCAAACATTCTCAACCGTGGAGTCGCACCACCAGGTCGAACACTTTCCCCAGCTACTTCGGGATACTAGACTGACTAAAAGCTTGACCATACAAATAGTATATTACAAACTCTGAACATGTCGATTTGTACCCGAAAAAACCTCCAGCTCCAGCACCGTCGTTCCGTCACCACGTTCCGTCACCACGGAACGCGCCTCAGTGTCGCACTCGTACGCCGCAGCCAGCAGCGTCAGCGTGCGCCCCGACGGTGCCCCACCGTAGAGCTGCTCCTCGGTGTCGCGTCCGCGTGGTGTAGGCGCGGCGCAGCACGCGCCGGGTTGGGTCGACGACACGAAGTCCACCATCCAGTAGAGGTGGGTCAGAACCCGAACGTTCGACTATCCTAGTTCGGGTGCCCCAGGTTACGGGTCCTAGTTCAGGTCATTCAACCTCTGTTGGATGTCCGTGATGAAGCGAAGTCCGACGCTCCCAACGGCCCCCGGTTAAGGCCCCGGTCGACAAAGACATCTGCAGTTACTTGAAGTCAACGACACCGGACGAAACAGCGGGTGTCGTTGCACTCCGGTGTGGTGCTGTGACTGTCGGTCGTTGAACTCCGGATTCGGAGGAGACAACGTGGCGGCTTGGTTCGGCGCCCCGATCCGAGGCCAAAAGGGGTTCCAATGGATTCAAGTCTTGGTATGTCTTGGAGGCGCCCAGATGTTCAGAATTTTTTTGTTGTTTCATGCGCGTTCCGCGTTATCTCATGTGAAATCAAGAAGAATGGTTCCATTTTTAGAAGGCACCTTTTTAATAAAGATCCGCCATGCCGAATTCCTTAATTTATAAGAATCTGTTATCGCCTTTGACCCCCTGAGGGTCAAAGGAAAAGCAGATGTTCAGACCCCAAGGATGTTCGGCAGCGAGTACAGTAGCAGCCGGGGCGAGAGGGCATCGGTGCCCGGGCACCGAAAAGAAAACGCCTTGGACTCGCGACATGTGGTGATTCTGTTTACCCGAAGCATTCCCGGAGAAAGCCTTGTTTCCAACAGTCTTTGCTGAACAACCATTGTTGTACTAAGGTTTTTAGACTACGGAACCCGCGTAAACCATTTCAACAAATGGTCGAACGGACTTCCAGGCTTTAGTTTATATATTCAATCTCAACTCCAGGGACCTCACGTGCCTGCTCCCTGGCCATGCCTCTTGTCCCTCCAAGCTTCCGGGTAGATGTTCTTGAAGTCGGTGGGGTACATCAAACGTAGGAAGACCTCCAAAATCTTCTGGGCCTCGTCGAGTCTTCCCCGCTTCGTCAAATAAATGGCCGCCACGGCATTGTCGTAGACATCCTCAGCCGCGACCGTCGTCATGCCCCGTCGTCATGGCCCAGAGTTTTGGCAGGAGGGGCCTGTGCTCCACGTTTCCACGCGCACTGATTGGGTTGCCAGCATCGCCCACCTTAGCACCTTCTTTTCAGAAGTCTTCTGGCTGGAAAGCACCCAAGTGCTGAATTCAGAACCACATGGAAAGCACTGAAGACGAACCAACAGAGGTTGAAGAACCCTAGTTCGACTATCCCAGTTCGGTACCCCAACGGGTCCTAGTTCAGGTCACTGAACCTCTCTTGGAAGCTCCGGCAGGGAAAAAAAAAACACTCGTCAAATCGTACAGTGGGGTGCCCAAATGGCTCGCGACCCATCCTTGGCGACCCAAGCGGCACAACGCTTCCTGAGGGATTCGAAGTCGGGTGACAAGTCGCACAAAGGACAGTCACCTGCGGCATGGCTTGGCACTGAAAAAGAACCATCAAATGCAACAAAAAGACTCCTCCTGTGTATGATCGCCTGCACATCGACATCCGCCCCAACTCAAGGCAAAATTATGGGTTACTGCTTTTTGGAGTCCTGTTCCGGATGCGATTTTCGGGCTTTCTGTTTTTTTCTGGATGTTCCTGTATTTATTCTTCCATCGCCTCCGGGACTCTTAGCCTGGCTCTGCCAAAATGATCCACTGCCTCGAAACCCCGTCCCAACCAGAAATAGTTCTGGTTGTTCCAATATGGCGCCAGCTTGACATGGCTGGGACTGGAGAATTCCATCCAGAACTGTTTCTGGTTGGGACTGGTTTCCCAGGTGTACTTACAGTAATGTTGACCTCATAACAATACATGGCCCGTGATTAATACTAAATATTACTAAATTGTTTCAAAATCAAACAACATTGCCCTCAAATAAGTTAATTTCTTCTGGACCCTGATGTTCAGCAGCTTCCAGACCTTGATTAATCCAAGCTGATTCTGAGCTTTCAGCTGATTCCAAAACCTGATTATTTGGTGGTTTCCTTTACAATTCTTTTAGATTTCCTTTTGATTGAAAAGTTTTAGCGTTATTATTGAAGGCCATCCTTTCTGGATTTCTGATTTGGCTGCTGCATTTTCTTTTAAAATTGCTTATTTGGGCATTGCCATTTGTAACCTGAAATCAACCCACAAAGACCACCCCCCACGAGCAGCCAAAACCTTCAATTACTCCAGACCTCAAATAATACTAAACAATGCCTGGTTTGTTCTTTTCGTGGTTTCCTTTATAATTCCTTTCATTGTCCTGTCATTGTCCTTTCCTTTCCTTTCATTGTCCTTTCCTTTCCTTTCATGGTCCCTTTCCTTTCATGTTCCTTTCAATGTTGTTTTCCTTTCCTTTCATTTTATTTTCATTTCCTTTCCTTTCATTGTCCGTTCAATGTCCTTTCGTTTCCTTTCATTGCTTTTCCTTTCCTTTGATTTCCGTTCCTTTCCTTTCATGTCCAATTCAAATCAAAATTTTCTAGGATATTTCTGGATTTCACGTTATTTGGGGCCCGCACTTGATCAAGGGGGGGTATTGTTTAGAGGTGGACATTATATCATGGCATATCGTCCACGTCAACCAAACTACAGTCTCTCTCCCCTAAGTCCCCTAACCTCGCCGGCTCTGAAAAAGCCTACAACTTCGCCTCAGGTGAAGAATTCTAACAAAACAGATGCGTTTTGGTCTTTGTTCTGGTTTTCTTGCTTCAACAACTCTCACAGCCTCCATTCAACTTCTGGGCATAGGTCCTGTAGAGCCCGATGCTGCCCCTGGGAGCGGTCTCGAAGAAGGCGTCCACGATGCGGAGGCATTCGCGCTGATCGCCGCAGCCCGTGCAGTTCTTGCACTCGGGGACCGGCGGGGCCGTGGTCTTGTTGGCCTCCGTGAGGCGCTGCGCCGGCAGGGGCGAAATGACTGGAGAAAAGGGATGCTCCCATCCCAAAGGACTCCCATGGAATAGAGAGTATACAGGCATGCGGCATTGCAGATATGCCATGTCTGGGTGGAAGATTTGCCATTGACCCCTTGTCAATCATCCCAATCTATATCAATAAATGTCAATAGTCAATAGTCAATAGGTCTGTCTGTCTGTCTGCCTGCCTGCCTGGCTGGCTGGCTGTCTGTCTGGCTGGCTGGCTGTCTGTCTGTCTG